TTGTGCTACCGGTATGACAATCTGACAAAGTATCACTGACCGACAGAACACCGGTACTATTTGCTACTAGTAATAAGAATGTTTTTTTTTTTTTCCCCCTACTGGTTATACTGTGCAGCACGGTGGCGCAACTGGTAGAGCTGCTGCCTCTCAGCGAGCAGGTCCCTGGTTCAAACCCCGGTCCAGGGGCCGTTCTGGGTGGAGTTTGCATGTTCTCTCTGTGCATGCGTGGGTTTTCTCCGGGTACTCCGGTTTCTTCCCACAGTCCAAAAACATGCATGTTAGGCTGATTGGTAACTCTAAATTGTTCCTAGGTGTGAGTGAGAGAGTGAATGGTTGTTTGTCTCTATGTGTCCCTGTGATGGACTTGCGACCCGTCCAGGGTGTACCCCGCCCCTCGCACAGTGATTGCTGGACATGGGCACCAGCGACCCCCGTGACCCAACATGGAATAAGCGGGTAAAGATAATGGATGGATGATGGATGGTTATACTGTAATGTGATGGGGGATCTATTTAATTTAAATTCTGAATAGTCAAAATTTTATTGTGACCTGGAAAATTAGACATCTGAGAAAGAATTAGGATTTAATTAAACTGTAACATGGCCTCCCGTACTGTTATTTTAGCTTAATAACTTACATTTTCCCAAGTTATAGTCATGTTTATCAGTTGTTGATGCACATACTATGATTACTTTACAATTTTAATAAAAATTCATCCAATACTTCACAAAATATTTTGCTAAATTGCTAATGCTGACATTTTAGACAAATGAGTAGTACTTGGCGTATGAGTGGCTGTCAGCTACGACCACATCAAATCTTAGTTTAGTATCTGTTCAGCTGCCTGAATAAGAACTGTTCTGTTCGCTAAGGTCCATTAGCTGCGACAGCCATCTTGAATTGGGTGGACTCCATTACTTTAACAGTTTTAGAAAGACTTCAAATGATTTCTGTCTGAGAGTTTGATTAACATCTGTCCAGTGGTTCATTACAGACAAACACACTAACACAGCCGGTCGAAGAAGATGGAGCTCGTCCTGAGCCTGGCTCTGTTAAACGTTTCTTCCTCATGAGGGAGTTTTTCCTTTCCACTGTCGCCTTCATGCTTGTTCAAGATGAGAGTTTCAGAGTCAGAGAGATTTATTTGTCATTCGCATCTCGTGTGGTACATGCGGTGGAACGAGGTTACGTACGCAGCGTCCCAGTTACATCCAACAATAAAATGTAAAAGAAAAACGGTAACAAGATCTAAGATATGAACTAAGAAAAACATCAACTAAAAATACATTAACGCTATTAGCATAAAAACATTACGTCAAAACAGCAGCACGAACATGAGTCTGTGTGAGCAGATGAGCACGAATGAACACATCAACATGAAAAAGATCAGCAGCAACATGAAAAAGATCAGCAGCAACATGATGTGATTTTTCTGGTTAGAGATTCATGAGTCTAGCAGCCTCAGGGTAGAAGCTGTTCCTCAGTCTAGTGGTTCTACACTTAATGCTCCTCAACCTCCTTCCTGAGGGGAGTGGGGCAAAAAGTGTGTGTGCTGGGTGAGTGGGGTCCTTCATGATGCAGGTGGCCCTCTTCCTGCATCTGGAGGTGTAGATGTCTGTGATGGTGGGGAGGCTGACTCCAACAGTCTTCTGTGCAGCCTTCACCACTCTCTGCAGAGCTTTTCTTTCTGCAGCTGTGCAGCCTCCATGCCACACGTTGATGCTGGAGCACAGGATGCTCTCCACTGCACACCTGTAGCAGGAGGTGAGGACTGAGCTTCCCAGACCAGCTCGCCTCAGTCTCTGATGATCTTTCTTGATCAGGCTGGTGGTGTTGTTGCTCCAGCTGAGGTTGTCATTCAGGTGCACACCCAAGTACTTGTAGCTGGAGACCACTTCCACCGCAGATCCTCTTACGTTCAGGGGGGTGTGGGTGTGTTTATTCCTTCTGAAGTCCACGATCATCTCCTTTGTCTTCTTCACACTGATGTGAAGGTTGTTCTCTTTGCACCAGCTCTCCAGGTGTTGCACTTTTCTGCGATGGAGTTAAATTCGAAGCAGTCTGCTCCTCAGGTAAATAGTGTTAACTTGTTTATATATGTGAATGTTTCTGTTCAGTGCCCTGAGATGACTTCTGTTGTGACTTGGCGCTTTATAAATAAACTGAATTGAATTTTTGACCCCATACATTTTTGGCGGCTTTTTGTTTATTTTTCCCGCCAGGGGGCGCTGTTTCCACCGAACAGCTTTTTTTTCTTCCCGCCAGGGGGCGCTGTTTCCACCGAACAGCTTATTTTTGTTCCCGCCAGGGGGCGCTGTTTCCACCGAACAGCTTGGTTTTTTTGTTCCCGCCAGGGGGCGCTGTTTCCACGCTCAGATGAGGTAGAGGAGGGAGGAGGAGGCGGCAAAGCTTCATCAGCTCCACCGCAGACTCTCAGTCCTCATTCTGGAGCCAGACTGTGGGTCTTTGCGACACCAGGCCCGGTTTCATAAACCCAAACAGCCCGTTCGGTTCGGAGGTTTTAAACTCTCGGGGACTCCTCTTTGTTTTTTCATCGCCTGGAACTTTGATTTCCAGCCACAGCTGAGAGGATTTACAATCGGAGCCAGAAGCTCATCATGGGTCCAGCTCCTGCGGTTTCTGTCCTGGTTCTGGGCATAGTGGTTCCAGCCCTGGCCGGATATATCGAGGTATGAAACGGTTCTGATTCTGGTTCTTCTAAATCTTAGAAATAACCCCCGGGAAAGCTGCTCGACCTATTTGATGTGTGGATTTACTGCCTGCGGATTTTCCTGTTTACCTCTCTGCTTCCTGTGATTTTTGCCCACGAACTTGTCCTGGAGCCGTTCTCACCTGCGTTTACACGGTCGCTCTTATTGGACCGGGTTAAATATTAACCGAGCCGTTTCCAGGTCGTTCCTGAGCTCTGGTCGCACTTTGTTCGTCTCTTTTAAAGCTTTGAAACCAGCAGAGTTCTGCTGCAGTGGATCAGAAACACGGTGCTGATCCTTTGATCCAGGTCCAAACTGGAGCTTGTTGGACTCCCAGATGACGTCACGTTTTGACAGACTATTACAAACCAGGACAAGTGTTTGTCCAGAATTTGTCTTTAACTGAGGCAGGTAAGGCCCAAATCACAAGGAGGTCTTTAAAGTAGTAAATTTTGAAGCTGATTGTTTACTTTTGGCTCATTAAAGCTATAAAACTATAAAATCAAACATTCAAAAGATGCTCCTGAACTACATAAAACATTAGTTTGAAAGCATTTACCGGCACTCCGGTAGTTTTCACATATTTTGATATGCAATTCTGAAATGTGGGCATGCACTCAATGTAAACAAAACATGGCTGAACCCAACCAGATGGGCCAACATTAGGTTAGCTGTAGTCTGTGTTGGTAAACAAATATGGTGGAATCGGTAAGTTAGCGCTTCAACCTTGCTGAACAATATCTGAAAGGCGTTAGCATAAACTGCTACACAATTTGAGAGCTTGATGTTGATTTATTACAGAAGAAATCTACTTTCATCCTAGTCCTGCTCTGACTAGCCATTAGCTCCTCAGTCTGGCCAGGATAAAACTCGCATTTCATCTAATTTGTCTTTCGAACAGCTACACTTATCAAAGCAGCAGCTAAAACTAGTAAGACCGCTGCTAAATCTAAAATTAGCTAGAGAAATGCTAAAAGCTAAATTGAGCTGCACCGCAAAGAAATACTAAACAGTAACTAGAATTTAAAGTTAGTAAAATGGTGACTAAAAGTTGAAATGAGCAAAAACTAGCCAAAAATCTACAAGGAAGTAGAAAATATAAACTGAAATGAGCAGAACAGCAGCTAAACGTAAAACTATCAAAGCTGACGTTATAAACACAAATTAGCTAATGCTAATTTTGGCAACGCAAAAGTTAAAAGATGAAATGGCAAAACAAATGCTAAAGGCTAAAATCTAAAACCAGTAGCTAAAAATGAAAGCCAGCAAAATTGTTGCTAAAAGGTAAAATTATCAGCACAGCAGCTAAAATGAGCAAAACAGTTGCTAAAAGCTAAAATTAACAACACATACTAAAATCTCAAATTAACAATACAGTTGTTGACAACTAAATTGAGCAAATCACTAGCTAAAAATAAAACCGGCAAAACATTAGGTAGAAGCTAAAATTAGTCGGAACAGCAGCTAAAGTTAGCAAAACGGTAGCTAAAAGCTAAAGTTAGCTAAACAAAAGCTAAAAATGAAATGGGTGTGGTGAAGTTGATTTAAATGAGCTCAAAGTTTATCAACAAATTCACGAGTTCTGATTAATGATAAAAATGTAAAGTATAAATATAGTAACGGTGCAGAAAACAAAAGTCGTAGCTGAAACGTCCTGAACGAGCTGAATGTTTTAATGAATGAACAATGATGACACGTTTAATGTGATTCAGCTGATTGGGTTATGTTTTGAACAGACAGGTCCTTCCTACTTTAATCGGTCTGGACGTCGTCAGTGTTTTCTTCTATTCAGCCTGTTGTTTACGACATGTTTACAACAAACAAAAACAGCAGGTTTTATTGAACCGTACGGTTGAAATTGTGAAGATAAAAACCGCCCTGTCACAAACAACACATTCACAACAAATAAATTAAAATCTGCAGTTTTTATTGAATCGAATGTTGAAATTGTGAAGCTAAAAACTGCCCCGTCACAAATGACACATTCACGACAGATAAAATAAAAACCAGGAGTTTTTATTGAACTAAACGATTGGAATTGTGAAGGTAAAAACCTCCCCATCACAAACAACACATTCACAACAAACAAAATAGAAAAACAACAGTTTTTATTGAACCGTACAGTTGAAATTGTGAAGATAAAAACCGCCCTGTCACAAACAACACATTCACAACAAACAAAATAAAAAACCTGCAGTTTTTATTGAATCGAACGTTGAAATTGTGAAGCTAAAAACTGCCCCATCACGAACAACAAATCCACAACAAACAAAATAGAAAAACATCAGTTTTTATTGAACCGAATCATGAAGATAAAACCCGCCCTGTCATTCTCTGAATGTCCGGTATTCCTGCTGCCTCACCACTTCTCGTCCCCGGACTCTGGCGCCTGCAGTGCCACACGTGTGTTAAAGCAGTACAACGCTCCTCTTAGAGCAAACAGCCCCACAACACTGCAGTGCAACTCCCCACCCCCCCACCACACACACACACACACACACACACACACACACACACACACACACACACACACACAATCAGAAGGTAAACACCAGCCTTTTCTGCTCCACCACAAACCTTTTCTGCAATCTTGTCTCCTCCTGGCACCACTGAGCGCTGCAAGAAACTACTTATCAAGACATGTTTTTCCTTCCTGCTTCTGAGACAAGGAGGGGAAAAAAATGGAACAACGCTCAGCCATTTTGAGGCTGCTGGTATTGTGTGTGTGTGTGCGTGTGTGTGTGCGTGTTGGGTTTATTATGCCCGTAAAATAATCTGTGCTGCTTCACTTTACAAAAGACGTGTCCTCGTGTGGAATGATTTCCTCCTCAGTTTGCCTCCAGAGGCTCCTGATCGATACCGGCAAGACTCCCCGGAGATGATTACTGGATGAAATCCGTAACGTTTCCTGTCCAATCCCTCAGATTAGCAAAACTCATCTCGGTTTGCTCTGGATTTTTCTTTCCTGAGAGTTTCCGAGATTTATTTGACAGTTGTTAAGGACAAGACTTCCTGTTTTTATTTGCAGTAAAGCAACTCGTGCAGAGGATACCCACGCTGAATTAAAACTAAAGTCAATGAAGATTACCGGGGGATTGAGCAGATTAGAGTAGGTGTCTGTTAGCAAAATATCTCATGAACTACTGGGCAAATTTTATTGAAACTCAGAAATTAATCGTTGGACAAAGATCTACAGCTGACCAATTTATGAAGTCAGTCCAATTCAAGATGGCTGCTACAGCTGTTCAACCTTAGCCAATATAAAAACGGCTTTAGCTCAAACAGCTTGTCAGATATTGAGCTAAACGTTTGCGTGGAAGTAGCTGAGAGTCATCCTCACCACACACTTAGAGCTCCTGATGCTCAATGGTTTTTTTATTAAAAATTTTAAAGGTTGCAGTTCTCAAAATTAACTTTTAGTTTGAACCTCTGGCCTGAAAGACGGTGTGTTTTAATTAAATCCAAGAATCTAATCTGAGAGGTCCGTTTTAGATTAACACGAGGTTAAAAGCACGAGTTTATTTCACGACAGGCCTGAACATAAGGCTGGTGGTTCTGTCCCGACGGCCGAGTTAAACATTTGTGTTCTGTCGGGCTCCGCTGGACCTTGAGCTCAGGTATCGGACCTGCCCAGTTCCACCCGGTTCATCTGGTTCATCTCAAGCAGCTCCTTCAGCTGCGTAAATGGGTTGGCTTGAGTTTTACAGCTCGCGTTCCTCCTGATAATTTCAGATTACAAAGAAAGCCCCTGATAATCCTTGAAGGAATGCATATCGCCCGCTGCCGTTCACGTCAGAATTTTAATCTAATCTACGGTGAGGAGTGAGAGTTTTAGCTACTTTGCTCGAACCTGCTCGTTTCATTAACGCAATCTCACCACATCCATGAGCTCTTCAAACTTGTTGTGAGCGACTCTCGGCTACTACCACACCAAATCTGAGCTCGCTACCTTCAACATCCATCGATCTGCAGCCGTGTTCGTGTTTTCTGATGTCCATCCGCTGTGGCGGCCATCTTGAATGGGGTCAACTCCAAAAGTTAATCTAAGGCAGACGTACGTCCAACGATCACTTTCTGGTAGCTTCACTAAATTCTGCTCCGCGGTTCGTGAGATATTTTGCTAACAGACGAGCACAATCGCCCACACACATAATTACATGATCGCCCACCTTTCATAGAAACGAATGATAAATATAAAAACGTCAGCCTTAAATTGCTCAATTATAGTTAACTGTAAATATGTTATTTTTGTGATGTTTATCATCGTTCAACCAGCTTACGTTTGAGTTATTCGTCTCTGCTGATGGTGTTTCTTTTGGATCAGAACCTGACAAGTTGAAGAGCCGCAGCTCCAGAACCTCTCCAGCTGCTGCACATCTGCAGATACCTCCTCCTCAGGCTCAGTCCTGCCCTGAGTCTTTGCTCTCCCACCGGAAAGAAAATACCTCACATTTCTGATGCACACAGAAATGCGATGCGGTGTCGGTTGCGTAATATTCGACCCGGTTGAGATAATCCGTGCTCGTTTATTCCAGCGCCGAGTGAAATGTGCTTCAAATGTTCCAGATTTTTCTGTGGTTCTTTAGTCCTGAGGGAGTCATTTGAGCGAATTTCTCAGAGCGATGTAGCTGAACTGTTGACACCAACCTGCGACACGTTTTCAAATTAACTCCGACACAGACCGGACCCCCCCCCCCCACACACACACCCCTTCTTTACTCCCTGGATTCATCCCAGTAGAGTCAAACTGAAAGAAAACTTCGGCTGTTGTGATTTTTATCGCCTGCAGCCGAAGGTGAAAGGGCGAAGGCTAGTTTGTTTGTAGCATTAGCGACATCTCATGAACCATTTGAACATATTTTAAGGCAACTCCCAGTTAACCACTGGAAGTGCATCATTTGGAGTCGACTCGGTTCAAGATGGCCGCCGCAGCTGAGCAAACTTAACAGACACAAAAATGTCTGTAACTCAGCAAATTA